CGGGTAAGTTCGTAGGGTACATCGTCAACCGGCGGGTATTGAGGCCAACCCGGACAAAATAAAGGTCATCCTAGATATGAGATCACCTCGAAAGGTAAAAGAGATCCAGAGGTTAAATGGCAAAATAGCCGCTCTGAGTCGTTTTATGTCTAAGTCAGCGGACCGTTGCCTGCCATTCTTCAAGGCAATAAAAGGCAAAGGGTTCGAGTGGAATCCAAACTGCCAGCTCGCATTTGACGAGCTGAAGAAATACCTTGCCAGTATCTCAGTGTTGACTCGGCCCGAAAAGGGCGATGTTTTAGAGTTGTACCTTTCGTTAAGTGACGAAGTGGTCAGTTTGGTACTGATAAAGGAAGCAGATCGGGTTCAACGACCCATCTACTATGTTAGTAAAATATTGCAGGGAGCAGAAACAAGATATCCAAAGATAGAAAAGCTAGCCTATGCGTTGGTCATTGCGGCCCGCAAACTCYGCCTGTATTTCCAAGCTCATACCATCATCGTCCTCACCGACAAGCCGTTGAAGCAATTATTACTTAGGCCCGAGGTCTCTAGTCGATTGACGAAGTGGGCCATTGAACTCTCTGAGTTATGACCTCCAGTACAAGCCACGAACTGCTATCAAAGCTCAAGCCTTGGCAGATTTYGTTGCGGAATGCACGTTCAGCTTCGAGGACCTTAGCCCGGTTGAGCACGGGACTCCCAGTTCGGGTGAGCTCGATGCTCCTAGGCTGGCCGAGTCCGAGCCTCGTGAGGTCGCTCCCAATTCGTTTTCTCTCTTGGTTAGGCCAAGCGCGAACTGGGATGAAGAGCCCTGGATCCTTCACGTAGATGGCTCCTCAAACCAGCAAGGCAGCGGAGCCGGTGTAGTTCTCCGTGGTCTGAGTGGCACGAAACTGGAGTATGCACTGCGCTTTGAGTTCGCGGCATCCAACAATGAGGCAGAATAAGAGGCGTTGATAGCCGGGCTAGCCTTGGCGCAAGAGGTAAAGGCAAAACACATAGTTATCTGCAGCGATTCACAGCTCGTGGTCAACCAAGTTACAGGGGAATATGAAGCCCGCGAGCCAGTTATGATCGCCTACTTGGCAAAGGTAAAAGAGGCACTGCTTAGCTTCCAGTCACACTTCATCAAGAAAATCCCGAGGTCAGAGAACATTGAGGCCGATGCCCTGTCTCGGCTAGCCAGCACCAGTGACAACACCATGAGAACTGTGTACATAGAGGAGTTACCTCGGCCCAGCATTCTCCAGGGGGCAGAGGAAGTCGCTCCTGTTGCCCAAGCAGAACCGAGCTGGATTGATCCACTCGCGAGCTTCCTGCTACATGGAACTCTCCCCGCAGAACGCAACACCGCCAGGAGGGTAGAGCGTCAGGCAGCCAAATACGTCATGATAGACGGACGGTTGTACCGAAGATCCTACCTGCGCTGCTTGCGACCTCTCGAAGCTGAGTTCGTACTCCGCGACATTCATGAAGGCCTATGTGGCAGACACTTGGGGGGCAGGGCCATCGCTCAGAAGGCACTACGACAGGGTTACTATTGGCCAATAATGAAAGCAGACGCTGTCGGGATAATCAGGAAGTGCGAGAAGTGCCAAAAGCACGCCAATATTCACCATCAGCCCGCCGTTGACCTCAAGTACCTCACCAGCCAATGGCCCTTCACACAATGGGGTATTGACCTACTCGGGCCATTGATGCCAGCAACAGGAGGAAGTTCCTAGTAGTGGCAGTAGACTACTTCACCAAGTGGGTTGAAGCTGAAACTCTCGTAACCATCACAGCTTGAAACGTTCAGAACTTTTTCTGGAAGAACATAGTGTGCCCCTTCGGGCTGCCTCGGGTGCTGATCTCCGATAACGGCAAGCAGTTCGAAGACATCAAATTCCAAGAGTGGTGCCAAGACATGGGGATCCGGCAAAATTTCACGTCGGTTGCGCACCCACAAGCAAACGGCCAGGCAGAAGTCACGAACAAAGCTATCCTCCGCGGACTAAAAGCCAGGCTAGACCAAGCTAAAGGGTTATGGGCAGACGAGCTGCCCAGCGTCCTTTGGGCATTCTGAATTATAGAGAAGACCGCCACTGGAGAAACTCCCTTCAACTTCACTTACGGCAYGAAGGCAGTCATCCCAGCCGAAATCAAAATCCCCTCACTTTGTTTGGAAGCATACAACGACAATWCTAATAGCGGCGAGCTACGTATCAACCTCGACCTGCTTAACGAGGTGAGGGACCTCGCATACATCAAAACCACAACATACCAGCAAAGGGTAGCTCGGTACTACAACACCAGAGTTAAGAAACGAAACTTTCGCGTCGGCGACCTGGTCCTCTACAAAATCATGGTACTTGAGCCCGACGTTTGCAAACTCGGGCCGAACTGGGAAGGAACCTACCGAGTGAACAGAGTACTCGGGGGAGCATACGAGCTCGAGGCCCTGGAAGGTAAGCAGGTACCCCGAGCATGGAACATCGTCAACTTAAGACGATTTTACTTGTAAGTTATCAAACTAAGCAGGCCATGAGCCACTACCGAGCTAGCAAAGACCTCGGCACCAAAAGGGGCAGAATACCGAGCTAAAGATGACCTCGACACCTCATCAACAAAAGCAATCTGCACAAGTATGGGTCCCGAGGCGGGGAACAGTTTGGGCACATAGCCTTACTATATTAACTTGCCTCGAGGCATGTCTAGCAGCTCGGGTATATAGTCACTTCGGCAAGAGGAGAATATTTGCACACYGCTTTTTGAACAGAAAAAAATACTTCATTGCTAAATGTCTGCTTTACAGTATTTAAAGAAAAAAGAGAAGCAAAAACAAACAAAAAACACAAACGAGCTCACAAGCCCAGAGGTCAATCTTCCTCGCCGTCAGAAGGGACTTCGACAACACCCAAAGGACCCGCTTCGTTTTCGGAATCCGCATCGTCATTAGCTGCGGCAGCCATCTCCCGAGTGATGCGCGAGGTGGTTATGGCACTAATGTCGGGGTACGTGTTTCTTATCATCCATCGGCTCAACTTGAAACCCCGTCTGTATGAGCCCACCATCATATCGTCAAAGTGCGGCGAAGCAATGTAATCCTCGACGGCTTTCACCTTTGCCTCCTCGATGGCCTGAGAAAAGATCAGAGTCTTCTCCCTAATATCTTCTTGAAGATACTCGACCTGATGCTCCAGGTCCAGCTTCATCTCGGCCATATGTCTCACCACCATCCCTAGGGCCTCTTTGTCCCTCCGAGACCTCGATAGCTCGACCCGCACAGCACGGGAAGCCGCTTCGGTAGCTTCTCGCTTCAAGTCCCTCTCTGCCTGAATTGCCAAGGCATGGATAGAGGAGTTCACCTGCCAGAACGAGGATAAGTCAGTTCGGTAAAAAAAAAAACCCACTCTGACTTTCCACCATCGCGTGAGTTGCAGCTCGAGCACCTATGAGATTGGTAGGGAGATTGGCCCACTGCGCGACCTCCTCAGGACAAGTGGCGGCCTTGCTTTTTCGGAGAGTGTAGCCCGGCATCAGCACGCTCCCAATCTCACCGTGGCTCCCCAAGCCCAAAGGCGCAGCCCGAGTATAGGCAGTGTCAGCATAGGGAGCCCTTGCCACTTCCTGAAATGAACGGGGCACCTCGGGCTCCCCAGTAGGCTCCATCCTCGGTGCCTCGGGCTCCGCCACCTGGGAAGGATCGGCACGAACTCGCTTAGCAGCTCGCTTCCTCCGTTTCATGCCAGCAAACAAGTTCGCACCTCGAGTCTTGTCTGCCTCCATAACACCTGCAAAAAGGAGCTCGGTGTCAGAAGACGGGAATAAAAGCAGAAACAAAAGTACCTTTATCTGAGCAAGAAACCTACCCGAACTAAGACCGGCCTGAATGAGTTTATCCTCCGTCAGATAGGCTTCGCATTTTAGCACAAGCCAGGCCCAGTCCCGGAGGCCCTTCACTGTATCTTCATCTAAAACAACACCGGGGTCAGGAGCGGCCAAACCCCACTCAGTAGGAAACGGCCACCCCGTTGCACTTTGAACCACGAAGTAATTCCGCTTCCACGCTGGGACCTTGTTTGGGAGATCGTGTAAGAGCTTGAAGCTCGACGATGTGACAAGTAGTACGCCCTCCTACGCTCGGGCAGGGGACCCGCTTGTTTCTTAATTATGAGAATAGCGGAAAAAACTTCCAAGTCCAAAGGAAGGCAGTGCTCGCAACAAAGGAAGGCAGTGACGCCGAAGTGGTTCATAACCTCGACGATTAGGGGATGGAAGGGAAGGCACAGCCCGACAACAAGCTGCTCTCGGAATATCACGATCTCATCCGGACCGTGCTCCCAAGGAAAGTTGCCTGAGGGTAAAAAGTAAGTATACTCCCCTGGCAGGTTGTACTGGACAATAAGGGACCAAAGACCTTCGGACGTCATAGTAGAGGGTCCGAACTTATCTGGCACCCGACCTCGGCGGGGGGTGGATGTCAAACTACCCGAGGTGACTCGGCCTACGAGCTCGAATTCGAGCTCTACCTCGGGCCCCGCCTCGAACTCAGTGAGGCTGTCGGGGGCAGCAGCTCGGTTCGTAGAACCAGCATCAGACCCCCCCAGGAGACTACCTAAACTACCCGAGCTAGACATCGAAACTAAGAGGGCTGAGGACTCACCAGGAAAAGCTACCGGATTGCGCACCATCAGGAACCACATTATCAACTAACCGTAGCTAAATTTCTTTGTTGTTTCTGKCTGCACTTCAATTAAATAAATTGTAAGATCCAGCAAACAACCGTAAAGGCCTTGTGGTTAAGTAGCAGGAGAAGAGAAGCAAAAAGAGAGAAATTTGTTAATATAAATTTACTTTTTAAGCTTCGCAGAATCAATAGATCATTCACCGAGTCACCGAGTAGAATAAAAACTTGTATATTTCCAAGAAAAATAGAAAGAACAGCWAAAAAGGGGAAAATCCCATTTGTTGATCATTTCCAGTTTTAATTTACAGTATTCTGTTCTCTTGTGCAGATGGCTCTGTTGTCATTACTCAACCAGATTGCTGGCACCGAATCCAGTTTGATAGTTGAAGCCTTCAAGCCAGAGTTTTATAAACTGGTTCTAGGGACCCTTTCACTGCCAATCAATCTACCAGGGACAAATTACAAACGTGGATTCCAGGTATGTTATTGAAAACATGATTCTTGATGTATTTTTTTTGAACATTTTCACTTACTGTAGTTCCACAAGCACGTTATAATATCATTAGCATCTTGAAAACAATCATAGAGAGAAGACGAGCCTCTTCATCTATCCACCATGACATGCTTGGTGGCTATTGAGAGGAGAAGACTCGAGATACAAACTCAGTGATGAAGAGATTATTGATAAGCTAATTACAATCCTCTATTCAGGTTACCGACAGAACAGAGGAAAGCGGGAAGAAGAAAGGGAAGGGGAGAGAGAGAGAGAGAGAAATGTGAAGGAATCTGAGGTAGAAGGAATTATTCGCTATTGTTGGTGTATTGTGAGGTTAGGGAAAATGAACAGTACTTTTCTCCCGATTGTCCAAATAGTTATTAGAAGGGTAGTATAGGGATTAAAAAATATTTCAACAGTGAATTTTAACAGAAAGCTAATAAAAGGGGGTCTTTGTCTCACAGTCATAGTAGAAGGGGGGTCTTTGTCACAGATCCCATGGTATAGGGGTCTTTGTAATTTACCCTTATTTTTATTAATTGGTCATTTATTAGAATACCCCTTTTAGTTCCATGAGTTTACTTAAACCTACCCTATAATTTGTATTTTACTAAACACCCCTCATAATTTGCAACCTATTTACTTAATTAATCAACTTTTCATTAAAAACTATTTATTTTGCCATCTGAAAATGGTAATATGATCACCTAAACTAAGTGGAAAATGTTTAAGGGCATGTACTCATGGTTGTTTATTCCAGTAGTCTCCCTAACATTTTTTTTTTGTACAAAAAACAAATTTTGACTAAATAGAGTAAAATAGAGTGGTTGTCCATGTCTTACTAGGGGCAAAAATGATATTTTTATTTTTAAATTTCTTTCTATTAAATTTATTTGAATGGATGCTAGGGTTAAAACTGTAATTTTCCACTTTTATCTAATGGCAGGTCGATTAAGTAAATTGGTTGCAAACTATAAGGAATGCTTTAATAAAAATATAAACTATAAGGTAGGTCTTATTAAATTCATGAAACTATAAAGGGTATTTTAATAAATGACCTTTATTAATTTTAGGATAAATTTGTTAAACTACTCTAATGGTTAATTAATTGACTAAACGTATCCTTACTATTTGAAAATTCACTAACGCTACCCTTACTATTTCTTACTATTTCTGACAATTGAATAATACTTTCCTTATTATTAATGTTCCTCAAAAACCATTCGAATGTGTATCAATGTCTATCAGGTGATTGTTATAATTCTCAAAAATACCCCACTTACCTTTATTATAACTTCCGACGCTGGCACCAGCACTTGCACCAGCTCCGACAGAATATCTCATTGTCCCTCTGACACCGGCACTGGCATCTCCGCACCAGCATCTATTACTCGCGGTTGGAAATGGACGACCAACGTCTCCAGAGGTTTGAAACGAGCATCACATAACGGCTGGTTCGCTGGTTCGGAACAGCGTCTCGGACACCAGCACCGTTTGGGTTTGAAAAGAATTCAGAGCCCTCTTTCTTCGTAGAAAAACTAAGACTCCGAACCCTCTTCTTCTTTCTTCTATTTCTCTGTTCTTCTTCTTCCTCTCCTTCCCCTCGTCATCGGTGATTTCTCACCATTTTCTTGGATGTATTCCGTGTACCACGAGTTCTCAAAACCCACCGCTCAGTCCCAGCAAAACCCACTGCCTGTTCATTTTCTCAAACCGAGCCCAGGCGACAAAGCAGCTATCAGCTAAGTCACTCCTCCAAGGCTCCAACTAGCTGCGACGATCTCCTGAAAACCCTGAAAGTCACTCCAACTCTGTCTGCAGAGTTAAAATTCTGGAATATGTTCTTCAGGGATATATATTAGCCCATTCCTCTGATCTACAACCTGGTCTTGGCAATGCTGTGGCGTCACCCTGAGAACGCAGAGCTTGACAAAGTGAAGGTCGTTCATTGTCGTGCAACAGTAAGTGTTTATGCAGTTTCTTTCAATCATTTCTTACTTGATAGCTCGTGGGTTGATGTTTTGTTAATTGAGTTTCTCTTCTTCTTAACAATGCTTGTGAAGAAATGCCGGGATGTGTAGAACGATGTGTACAATGATTTAGTGGCAAAACTATACCAAATCTCACCGGCCGCCACCACTTCTAAATTCTGATGAAAGAAAGAAACCATCCTTGGTTTTGATTTTCAAACCCAATTCAACAATTTAATTACAAACTCGTGCCACTTAACACTATTGCCAAGTTCCTAGCTTTGAACCCAGTAGCTTTTTTCGTAATATGGCCTCCACAATTATAGCAAATCTCCGGCAACAGCAATGTCTCAAACCCTGTTCACTATTTTCTGGCCATAATGTCTTCTATTTTCGATGCCTTCTTAGCTGGAACTGCATCCACCGTACGCTTGTGAAATGCGTCTGATTTCTCTTCATCAACTCTTTAGCAGCTCTAGGCAACGAAGCAGCTATCCACTAAGGAGCGAGCGCCACTACCGAAACCAGCAGTCGCAAGGTTTTTTGAGCTCTTTGGACCCTTTTAACCATATGGTTCCGTTGCTCCATCTCTGTCCAGGCGACGAAGCAGCTATCGGCTAAGGAGCGGGTGCCACGGCGAAATCAGCAAACACCTCCTGCAATTTTCTGTAAAGGTGGATAAGGGTAGGAAAGCTTAAAACTTTCTGCTCGACTTCAGCTCCGACCAGTCCACGACGGGGACCGAGCTGCAATTTGTAGATAACAGACAACGTCTTTCCATTCTATCCCTCCGCTCGCCACCTGATCGATGAGCCTCAGCCATTCAATTGAGGTCGGCGGCCATGGGGACTGAATTCTCCAATGCAGAGAGAGAGAGAGCTCTCTGAAAGACTGTCTTTGATTTTTCGGATACTGTTGTAAAATTTGAGTTGACCTTGTAAACCATGAGTAGGTTAGAAGTTTTTATTTTGAAAATATAAAGAAGAATAAAAGGTTAGTCATTTTTCGTCTTTCTATTAATAGAACAGAAGTATTAGTTAATTTTGAATACACTTAATCAATTAACTAAATCATAAAAGGTAGTTTAAAAAATTCTCTTAAATTATTATTCGAGGTCTGGAGTGTGTCGTTTTCCTGGTGGAAAGTCTCACGACTTCTGAAAATTCCAAGTAGTCCACGAGTGCAACCGCTTAGCCTATGGGACGCGTTTTTCTCTAACCATTTTGTTAAAAGACGGTCAATTCCATTCATCAAATAAATAGAGAAATTATTCTCCCCTGAAATACTAGCTAGCTACTTCCATGCTTCAAGAAATGTGTATCAAAGGAGTAGATAACACAGCTCCATTATTGACACGACGAGTGAAATTGTCCAAGAAATAAAACCATGCCTGAAGAATACTTGTGCAATCGGCAATGGTATATTTTGATTAGCCAAGGTATATCTCAGTCTCGGAAGAAGACACCAATGATGGATTATTTTACATCGTCTTCACCTTTTGAATAAACCCAGTTCAGTGGCCATCATCAGAAGATTCAAAACTTGCATAAGCTGCTTTAGCCTCCATAGCTCAACTGGGAAGAGGAATATACCTGTTTCACATGCAAAATTTCCTTCATGGATATACAGCAGCGTCAACGTTGATCTTTTAGAGTGCCAGATGATCATGGTTAATTTCTGCCATCTAAATCTTCTATAAATCTCCTAATTCCCATTTCTCGATAAGGATTCACTTGGCATCTTAGAGGTAGGGCTTGTGGAGACGTTTGCAAGATCTAAAACCAGAGCATTAGCTGCAACTTGCAAGGATAGAATGCGAGGCTTATAAAAAGGTCTTTCATATGCCTATCCACCTGGACCACCTCTACGCACAACTTAATTTCTATGATGACAAGTTAATTTCAAATTCACTAGTGTAGTAGCTAGTACTGGTGAAAAAAAGAGAAGGGTACTGAACCGTAGGGGTGAGTAAATGGGTAGGTTCTATCTGGAATCTACCTTGAGCCAGCCTTAAATTGATCCTATCCAATTTATTATAGGATAGGGTTCTGGTTCTAAATTCTTGGAACTGACCCTCACTCGAGCTGGTTCGGGGTTTATTCTACCCAAATCGACCCAATGAACTTGCTTTGATTGGCCTTGGTGGAACTTATCTTAGAACTGAACTTTCCTTAAAATAAACCTCAAAATACATTTAGGGATGTGAAGATTTGAACCCAAACACTCATGATTACAAAGGCCACGGTCTCACTTGACCATTGAGTTACTTAAATTATTTGATCATTTGTTTTTATTTTAATATTTGAATTTGTATAATAAGTAATGTAAAAATTAATATTTACAAAATTTAAATTTAAATTATAAGTTTTTGATGTAACGCTATTTGGCTGTTCCCTCATGTCAAATGACTCGGACGCCGATTTGGATGGTTCCTTATCAGGGCCGAGCTGGAGGTAGCCGAGCTGATGTGTTCTGCAAGAAGAAGGGTTAGAGTGCTCAGGTTGTCTTTACCCGAGGAGGGCACTCAAATGCTTAAGTTAGAGAATTTTCTGAGAGYCTTTGAGAGAATGAGAGAGCTTGAGAGTTAATAATCGCATGTACCTTTATAGGTAGAGATGAGTGCCTTATATAGGAGTCAGTGGTCTGAATCCCCTTGCAATGGGTCTCCTCTTCTTGCGGAGCCATTTCCTTTTGATTTGGTGAGTTATTGCATCGGTTACATGTTCTGCGTGGGGGGTTACGATTTGTCCGAGTAACTCCAGGGCATGCGGTGCAGTAGGTCGGCCTAACGGTCGTGGCATTAATGCTCTGGAGATCTTGGGCCGGTAACGTTTCTTCAAAACAAGTTAGCTCGCTCGCTCGTAGATCGCCATAGATTCCTACAGCTCGATCGGTCTCTAAGGCGGGTCGTTGTGAGTTAGGAAACCTACCAGCTCGGTCTAGTCGAGGTGAAGGTCGGCCTGTATGAGGTGCTTGAGAGTAACTTGTCGAGCTAGTTTGTCTAGTTAGTGTTGTGGTGTCACTTAAAGTCCACGTCTCGTGATTTGATTTGTGGGACCAAATTACCCCTCATCAGTTTTGAACCATATAATGATAATCTACATATTAACTTAATTTAATCAATAAAAATAATAAAAGTGTTAAACTATATGTTATATTTATTAAAAATCAAGTTTTTAAAAAACATGCTTCCTTTTTATGAAGGGAGGAGTAAAGAAAGAACAGGTTCCATGAATAGACATTGAAACCAACCCTATAACCACTAAGGCCAAACCCGAATTTGAAACCGACATTTACAGGATAGGTTTCGATTCCAAAAACATGAAACAAACCCCTATAAGATAGGTTCCAAGTTCTGCCATAAAACTGTAATAAACCAACTCATGCTTACCCCTACTGAATCGACCCAGGCCCAAATCAAGTTCATAAATTTCTAGCTCACAAGAAAATGTTCATAAAAATAAAAATAAAATGTGGAATATATATTCTAAGAACATAGCCTGTCCCAGTTTATAATCAGGATTGCTGAATGTAATGTCAGCTGGCTGGCTATGAAATCAATAATAATATTCCATTTTAGTAATAATTTATAGGCCCCATTATGAGAATTTGATGTCCCATGTATTTTATTAATAGTATGGAATATTATGATTGGTTCTACAGCCCGCTGAACAGCCATGACGTTCAGCTAATCCAACCTCCCCTGTGTATCCCATATTGATCCATAGGATGTCAATAGTCAACAAGCCGCGCTATGCCTGTGTTGTAGATCACTAGATTGTCAAAGACAAAGCCCTAAGCCCAAGTAAAGTGTTTGGGCTGGAGCAGTTTAACTATTAACTTTCTAGATTGTTAGCTGGAGACGAAATCATGAAGATCAGGTTTGGCAACCCATCACGGTTGGATATTGTGAACGGAAAACTGATGTCTTCACTCGTCATTGGTTGCCTAGCCCGATGTTTATGATTTTGTCTCCACTCTCAAGCCCATCCCGTCTGTAGCCAATCTAGGCATGCATCATGAGTTTTCAATGAAACTAATGGCAAACTGGATGGGAGACCGGAGAGGAGAGTCCCATTTCTTGAACCCGAAGCCTGTATTCGTGCGGTACTGTGTGTAGCAACTAATGACATGCATACCCTTTTGAGTTCACATCTGCGCCCCACAGCATATATTCAGAGTCTGGATCTGTTTCTGACAACTTGGTGCCTTAAAACGTTTTTATAAAACGTGAGAAGGCCATGCATCCTCAAACACATGTGAATTCTATACACGAGTGGAGGAACCTAACAATTTAGGCCTCCCTTCCATTAGTCCTCCTCCCCCCTACCCAAGTCTTATTCGGCACTTTCTAGTTTTTTGTTCAATTCTAACCCTTGCCTCTCCTCTTTTTTCTCCAGCAACAAAAGAATGAAACCCTAATGCTCTCAACCGATTGTAGTGTTTTCTCCAGCGGCTGGCGATCTCATCGGTGAGAATACCCTACGGCGATGAAACGAGATTCCAGCAATTCTGCTTATTTCTCTTTTCTTGCCCAAACTCTCATCCCTGTGCAACTACAACATTAGTCCATTCAGCATTTGCGCCTATGCTGAATTCAACAAACTACAACTTTTTGTTCTTGTCGAGAGAGTAGTTTTCATATGGAAATAGAACATCTAGAAGAATTAAATGTAAATCCTCAACTTGTTACTCGAGGAGATTCCATGTAGTCACCATCTTCTATGCTTAAGCACAGCAGTAATATGTTAGCAGACCAGATAGTTGTTTCAATCGAAGTGACTGCCTCTGCATTTGGGATGTTGACCATGTTGTAGTTGAGGATTTACAATCCCATATGGATGACAAAATAGCTAAAGTAAAGTTTTCAGATCAGGTTTTTGATATACAATCACATGATCCATCAACCAAAAATTCATCTTCAAATATGAAATAAGAGTCCTCTAAATTAAAAAACCATAGAAGGCTGTAAGTGGTAAGGGGACATCTAGCACTCGTAAAAAGAATTTATGATCTTGACTTATTCTTAAAGATTAATGGGAATCTCTACCATAAGCTTGGAAAGATTAGGAGTGGAGGAAGGAATGGTCATCGGTGTCGTAGCTTGCATGTGGAAAAATAAAAAAAATCCAATGGAGGAAGCCCTGGTACTGTCATTGGAATCTATTCTAGCCAGTGAGATCGTTGGCTGCCAAGGAGAGCACTGCGACTGGTGGAGGGTGCTAGGGTTTCATTCTTTTATTGCCAGAAAGAAAAGAGGAGAAGTAGGGGCTTTGAGCGGGAATATAATAGAAAATTAGGAAGTGCCGAATAAGGCTTGGGGTGGGGGGGAGGGGGCTAACGGAAATGGAGGCCTAACGAATGTTAGGCTCCTCTACTGGTGTATAGAATTCGCATGGGCTTGGGGACACATGGTGTCCTCACATTTTGTGAGGATATTTTGAGGCGCCAGGCTGCGAGGAACAGACTTGGACTCACATTCCCACCTTGTATTGAGAACATCTCCCGATGATGTCTCATCATCTCTCATACTTGTTATTGGTAGATGTTCCCAATACAAGGTGAGGATGTTCTGTGTGGCGCAGATGTGAACTCTACCCCCTTCCTCTTCCAAGTTCCAACAAGTCAAAGACATAGCAGGATGCTAATCCTAATTCCAAGTTCTTACAGAATAACTTATTACACAGAGAGGCCGYGTATAAGTCCGTATGCTAGCAAGATCTGAGCCCTTGGATGCTAATATAGTTTTCTCATGTGTGTGAACACGCGAAGTCCGAGTCAATGACTTACTAAATGGGAGAGAGTTATACAACGCACAACTCACAATTCTTAAGTCATGAATTTGAAATTGTTGTCCTTGAAAGTTGAAACAACCATTGATTTTTGTTTAGCTGGACCGGGCTGCAAATGGACCCGATCGGATTTTCAAGATTATAATTTAAATTTAAATTAAAATATTTTATTGGGTATTTGATTTGATCCGAATTATCAGGATATTTAAATCTGGCTCTTACTCAAGGTTCAAAATATCAATACCTTTGATATGCTAGTAGAGGCGTATAATGCTGTATTGATAGTTTTTTTTTTTTTTTGTTTAAATCCGGTTCAGAGGAAAGCGTTTAAGGTCCTTCCACGCCCTGAATTGGTCAAAACCCCAATACACCCTCTATAAGGGCGTATCAGAAAATTCTCAATACCTATCAATACTTTGAACCTTGTTCTTATTAAATTAAATTCAAATTCAAATTGAATCTCTAATCCAACTTATCAGCCCTAACTGAAACAAGATTTTTAAAGCAACTGTCAATTTGTCATGCGCATGGACTTTGACAGTTTTTTTTTTTGATAGTTTTCTGTTTAGTAGCGCTAATGCTACATTGGCATTAAAGGAAGCATTTCCTTCCAACTATTCTATTTGGTATTCACTTTTTTACCCCGTTTTTATAGTTCGCAGCCCACGGGTTTTTTCAATATAAATATGTGTATGTATGATGCACGGTTAACCCCATGTCATCCAACTTATGTCTGCCCATCTAACACCACATAAAATTAGGACAATTATTTTACACCATTAAGATTTAGGATGTTGGTAAAATCACGATTAAAAGGTATTTCATTAACAAAATTGAATTGAAAGTTAAAAAATAAAATAAAATGGTAATTCCTGCCGGGGAAGGGACCGTCATTCTTGAGAAGGAGAGGTAATGGTAGCTTGACGATCCTGTTAAAATCCTGAGATGGTCGAGCAATTTGCCTTGATCCATGAATTTATTTGAAGAGGYGAATCAGTGAAGAATATTGAGTGTGACACACTGACTCCAGGGAAGTAGCAGAGGGAGTGACCCAGTAATTAGATCAAACGGATCAATGGTTCAACTGTCCAAATAAAACAGCTTTTCACCTGATCAACGGCTTTTTATCAATTTCTAAATTTTATTAAAATTAAGACCAAATAACAGTTCAAAAGATTCAACCAATTCAATCAACAACAGGTGAAAACACTGATCACATATAAGCATCAGGACGTATCTATGTTTCCCAATAACTCCATATCTTCAGATCTTCAAAATACCCAAATGCCCAACAACGAATATTTAATTTAATCCGCATGGAATAAATTAAACAGTTTCACCACTCACCACCTCCCAAATCCCATCATGATTCGTGGGATTTAGAAATGCCTAGGTTCAACCGCCCAGGTGTAAAATTCGAAATTGATCAAGAATTTCAGATTTCAGAGCAGGCCAGGCTAAAGATTGGTTAGGCGGGCCATAGTTTGCCGGTTTGCCCATGCCCAGACCGCTTTTGCAGCCCTGAACCTTGGCATAATTAAACTGTCCAAAAATTAGTGATCCGATCTGAATCTGATGTTGTGATTCGGGCGTGATATTGACCTGCAGTTATGTCACATTGTCACCCACCTTGCCGGCACCAGTTCATCATTTCCCTACACCGTGTAGGGCACAGAATATAGATATGATGGGGTGGACCCTATTTTCCACTCTCTACGATTGAGCCACGTGGATATTTCTGTGAGGTCATGCACATTATATGGATCCGTGCGACACACGGGCTACGTTGGATTGTGCGTGTAAGATTTGTAGCACTATGAACTAATACCATCATAAGCAAAGATTATAATGTTTTAATTATATAATTTATAATTTATATGAAAAATAAATGTATTTTAAATACATTATAAATTAATTATATTTATTTCTTGAAAATTATTGATAATTAGTACATATTTTCAAAAGTAATTTTAATGGTTATATTTTTTATTTTTATTAATTTATCATATTTATTGGAAATTATATTAATCCATTTTTGGTAATTATGACAAAATTATTGGTACTTTGGTTTTGGTTATTTTCTTGGCTAATTTCTGTTCATTAAATGTAATTTTCTTCTATTTATAGTTTAAATTATATTTAAATGTATACTTTTAATTATAGTTTAAAATTTAATTATATTACTTACAATTTCAAATATAATTTAAATAATATTTAAAACACAATTTAAATTATAACTTACATTAATTAACAATTTAAAAATTGTTAATTAATGAATTAATAAATATATTAATATTTTTTAATATATATATATTATTTTAATAGAAATTGTTAATTAATAAATACTATAATTAATAGTACTACAATTAATAAATACTGTTTTTTAATAAACTATAACTTACATTGTATTAATTAATTAATTAATACATTATTTTTTATAAATAAGATTAATACTATTAATTAATAAAAATACTGTTAATTATTAAAAATATTATAATTATTATTAATACTATAAATTTTAAAATACATTAATTATTATTACTACTACTCCCTCCCTCTCTCTCTCTCTCTCTCTCTTAAATGTCTTTTTTAAATGTAATAATAACATTCATTAAAATAAGATGTATTGAAAAACCCAAAGGTCCCTCTAATACTGTGCAATTTTATTAATCTAATTAAGATAGAGAATGATTATTTTTTATATTTTTAAAACAAAAATGCAAAAAATTGAGAAAAATAAATAAATAACTTCTCTCCAAAGAAAGACATGATGACATTGACCATCCAATTTTGTTATATATATAAGGGAAATTGTCTAAAACTCACCATGAGTTTCAGCATTTCTATTAAACTAACCACAACTTTTCAAAATGTCTAAAACTCACTAACGAGTGTTAATATATTACCATTTTAACCTTCATAGAAAAATATAAAATATATGCAAAATAAATTAACGGGTGTTAATATATTATCATTTTAATATTTAGACATGAAAAAAGGAAAAAAGTTCAAAAAATCTTTTTCAAATATAAAATACATAAAAACATAGAAATTGCAAAAATAATAAAAATTGTAAACAAAATAAAAAATTATTTTCAAATTATAGAAACTATAGAAATTGAAAAACAAAATCAAAAAATAAAAATTGTAGAAAAACACCAAGAATTATAGAAAAGCACAGAAATTTTAAATAAATAACAAAAAATACAGGAAAATTTATAGATTGTAGAAAATAGAAAATGTAAAAAAAAACAAAAATTATAAAAAACATTAGAAATTATAACAAAATACTAAAAATGCAAAAAAAATAAAATAAAATTAAAAACTGAAAAAGACCATTTTTCCTCTAACTTGCCATAAAAGGGTAATTTAATCATAAAAATTATTATTTATGCTGACATGAACACCTTTGTTAAGAAGCATTAATGGTTCACTAATAGAAGGTAAGTTTTGGAAAATAAAAACTTAGTAACATACATGATGAGTTTTAGACATTTTTAAAAAGTTGTGGTGAACTTAAKAAAAAGATTAAAAATTCATGATGAATTTTAGACAATTTTCCTATATATAATATTCGATTCTTTTTTGACCAAATTTTGGTCCAAAAAAATGAAAAACCACCGGTCCAGAAAGTGCCTGTTTTGTTTTTTTACCTTTGCTTTTTTTTTTGGGTATCTGTGAAAAATGCTAAGCACGCGCCGGTATTTCTTTTCCAGTTTGTTGATTGCTCCGTATGCCATGAATCTAGCACATTGTACGTGGGATCCACTACACCTGGTTATTWATTACTTACATTGCTATTGCTACACTTCACGTTCGTGTACACTGTACAGTGCACTTACTCACGGGAGACTCGAATCAGAAGATAGACAAGCGTCCGAAACAACAGCACACAGAGGACTGACTGACTAGAGCGGACAGAGGAGCAGTTCGTACCTGTTTTTTTTTTTTTTTAATTAATATAATTTAGCCTGAGCCTTTTCTCACTTCCACCCGCAGATCTCTCCGATTTCCTTCTCTCTTCTCTGATTTCCTTCCTCATTACTACCTCTCATCGAAATCAGCAGGAGAGCAAGAGAGAGGGGGCTCTGCAATGGCGAGCGGTGGCTACGGAGATGCGAATCAGAAGATCGATTACGTATTCAAGGTCGTCCTCATCGGCGACTCTGCTGTCGGGAAATCTCAGATTCTTTCCCGCTTTGCTAGGAATGAGTTCAGCTTAGATTCAAAGGCTACCATTGGTGTTGAGTTTCAGACTCGAACCCTAGTAATCCAGCACAAGAGTGTCAAAGCTCAGATTTGGGATACAGCTGGACAAGAAAGGTATAATTCCTGCAAAGATCTCATTTTTCATTTATTCATTTTCTCTTTAATTAATACCCTCTTCTGTTCTGATGTTTCAAATCACTTTTTTTTTTGTTTTATTTATTAAAAATATCTCTTCGAACTTTGCATTGTTTTATCTTGTGGTTCGCGATAGTATTCTTTCTACTTACTGAATCTGTAGCATTTGGTGAAGTTACTATTTTTGCAATGCCTGGTAGTGTTTTTGGGCTTCTTGACTCCAAGATCTGGTGAAGTTTACTTCGCCGCAAGATACATTGTATTTCTTCGCGTACATCAACTCAGTAGTTAGGAAAGACCTTTCTTTGAAGGAAGATCTGAGATGTCTTAAATTTATATCATTTGATCTGAAGATCGTTCCTTCCCGCGCTTTGCGATCCAATGGTTCATTAGAAAATTTTGAAATCTAAAAATATTATTACTGAATGTCCAATTATGGATCTCTTATTTGCAAAGGTTGTAATTATTCTGATTTATCAAAAAAGGTTGTAATTATTCTGTATCTTGTACATGTGGAGGATGAACCTCAATCCTAGGTTTCAAAGATTAAGCAATTACTCAAGCAGCTCTTGCGCAGACTAAGTCATTTGTGTAAGATCACTCAACTGGATTTAATGTAGTGGTTGTAATTGGCAATACACAGACCGATAAGAGTGTTATTAGAGTTGCCAAAATGCAGTTTGATGTAGGTTGAATTCCTTTGGCTTTTACCTTTTGTAGTTACTCTGTTCCTCTTTCCTCCGTAATGCATCATTGTCCCACAGTTGAAAGGATTGGTGCAATGCTTTGATTGTCGTGCAAATTTAGAAATACAATACATGAATTGGCAAAAAAATTCGAAACGATTTAATAGGTTTGATTGTTATCATACTGATAAAATCAGAATAGCATGCCATTGATACTGAGAATCATAAACACTTTTTGAGAAGTTTCTGAAGCTGTGATGTAGAAAAGCAAGGTTGAGGGGTTGGAAATTTTGATTGGTAAGGAAAAATAATGGTCTTTAAGTGTTTTATTTACTAGTTGATTAGAGTTATGATGAAAATAGTGACCATGCAGTTTTGAGGTTTGTATAAGGGGGACATCTAAAGCTAGTATGGGGTAGCTATATAGGTGTCAGAGTTAGAATTTTGAAGTCAAGAATAATCGGGTTACTGATAAAGTTTTACCAAGAACTACCAAAAAAAAACATTTCTATATAATGCTAATGAATCAAATGAAAATACAGATTCGGTTCACATGAAGTTCTAAGAATGGGATATTTCTTGGATTGTCAGGCAATAAGATAGGACTAGGTTTGCAAACTTGGTTCCAGCTCAACCCTAAACAAATTAGCCTAACTTGACCTATAACATGGGTTAGGATTGGGCTAAAGCAAAGGTAGAGTTGTACTTGGATTGGGGCCTTGAGCAATGCAAGCTCAAAGTGATATGTGCCTATATATAACATGTCTTTACACATATGGCATATGGACTTAATTATTACTCCAAGTGTATACTGATTTGAATTTCTTTTGTTGTTATTTGTTTTTTTTTTTTTGCACAATAATAAGAAACTTTGTAGCCAATGATGACACATCCAGGTCTATACAATTTCTTTACTTCTTCAATATTTTTAGGTTACGTAATATTGTAGACTAAGCCCAATTTGAACCAATCTTAGTCAACCGGCCTCATCTGGGTTAATTCTAAGTGAATTGGACTTGGTTTCAAGGTTGAAGACCTCATGACCCTTAGGTTAAGCTAGGTCAAAGGTTCACCATTTCCTTTCTAGGTTTCAGCTTAGGTTGGCTGCTAAGCTGTGATGTAGGGGTGACTTCCCCATAAATCTCTTGTCCATTCAGCAGTTCTTTACCTGACATGTATTGAAATCTTTGGAAAACAAGGTTAGACACTTACGGGTATGTCTATCTTTATCTACTTCTAAAATGGACACCTATTTYAAGCTTATATAAAATAACTAATTGTATATCAGACATTACATGTCCTTTCGCCATTCATGTGCATACATATATACATACATACACATGCATTCATTCATTCATGCATGTCTCTCAGTTGGCACAGATTTATCTATTCCAATGATGCCAATTCCATGCATATATCAAATCCACAGATTCTTTCCTTAATCGTWGTATTGTTTAACTTTTCGTTGTTGTCGAAAGCTCATGTGGATGTGGGTTGGCTTTTATTTTGTGTGATATCCATTTTTTACTATAAATCTATAATCTCTTTTCTTCCCCTTGATTTTTGAGTCATTTGAGGCACTTTTACTCAATATCAAATTATCAATTGACATTGAGGTGCCAATAACAGTAGATAATCTATAATCTCTTCTTTCTTCGTTTTGCTCTGGTTGCTATATGCATGGGCATTTTATGCTGCCGTGATATATTTTCTTTTGTATACTATCTATACATATTTTATCTTATCAGAAAAGAAACACTTTTTTGTTGCTCCCTTGATCTCAAATAAGAAGCGTGGACCGGCAACTCAAAATCTTATTTCTACATTGATTATCAACTTTAAGGTGGCCAAGCCTCTGATTATTCACTTGTTGGTGGCATCTTTTAATGGGCAGATACAGAGCTGTAACAAGTGCATATTATAGAGGGGCAGTTGGGGCAATGTTAGTTTATGACATAACTAAACGTCAAACATTTGATCACATACCCCGCTGGCTGGAAGAGCTACGTAGTCATGCTGACAAGAATATTGTGATCATACTGATTGGAAATAAATGTGATCTTGAAAGCCAGCGGGCTGTTCCCACAGAGGATGCTAAAGAGTTTGCTGAGAAAGAAGGTTTATTCTTCTTAGAGACATCCGCGTTGGAAGCAACAAACGTCGAGACTGCCTTCTTGACTGTTTTGACAGAGATATTCAATATCGTGAATAAGAAGAATCTGGTTGCAGGTGAGGATCAAAGCAACGGAAACCTCGGCTCCCTTGCCGGGAAGAAGATCATCATTCCTGGTCCTGCACAAGAAATCCCAACCAAGAGCAAGATGTGCTGTAAATCATCTTGATCGTTCCAACATTTTGGCTTATTCAATATTTTGTTCTACATTTTTATTATCATCTGTAGGTTATCTTTTTGTTTTCTCCTTGTAAATTTTGATTGTTGTAGTTTCCTTTTGGAGGAACCGGTTGATTACATTCTATAAGGTGGGAATTATCGAGATTGCTTTTACTGATCCAGATTCCAGACCTGGAATTGGATTTTGATAGTATTCATCCATGTACGGATTTGTGTTGCACTTACCAGGGGCATGAGCATATACTGCACTGGTCGTCTGGTCGAGCCATTTGGAGTAGCCTAATTAAACGACCTAAAATGTTAGGGCGTTATCGCTGGAAGGACAGTGATAGATTAAGCGTTTCTGACACATGCTAGATAAGTTACCCTCCTGACTGTCAAACTTTTCAATTCCTTTGAAAGGCACTTGGATCCGATACCCAAAAGAACGCACGTTAGGTAAGTACAATGAGTGTAGTGAGCACTTAATAGCTGAGTGACATTTGTTCCCGTGTCTTTTATCCAATCGTTTTTATCCAATCGTTTTTATTCTGTGAGATAGAAATTATTCATTATTTTATTATCTTTGTCAAAATAATAAAAAGGGAAAATCTAAACATGTTGGGATTTCAGATTCATTTATGTTTTCTTTTTTTATTATTTTTATTTTTAATTATTTTGATAAAGATAATAAAATAATGAATGAGCAAAAACGTTTGGATGAAAGGTACATTATGGGTTTGGATGTAGTAGGCATGTTAGGTAAGCATAATGAATGAGCATATAATAACTATGTAACACATGTCCCAGTTAATGTGTTTTTCATTCAAACGTTTTTGCTTCAGACGGAAATTATCTATTATTTTATTATCTTTGTCAAAATAATTAAAAATAAAAACAATGAAAAAAAAAACGTAAATGAGTTTGAACTCCCAACACGTTTAGGTTTTCTTTTTTCATTGTTTTTATTTTTAATTATTTTGACAAAGATAATAAAATAATGGATAATTTTTGTCTAACGGAACTAAAACATTTGGATAAAAGACACATTAACTAGAACATATGTCACACAGTTATTATGTGCTCACTCATTGTGCTTACCTAATGTGCCTATTACATACGGACCTGCTACTACCTACAGCCACATACAACACACTAACACAACGGCTTGAGCGCATTTTGACACGCTCAAAGAATGTGAAAGTGGAGCGCACTCCTGTTCATATATTACATAATTCATAAGGAGATGTTCCGGATGTGTGGTCGTAGTGTTACGTGGATAAGTGTGGGTAGTTGTTCTGGATCTGGATGCCCKTTAAAGGCTCTTTAGGCATTTAATATCAGAAAACAAACAACGATTGCAAGAATACAATAATACCCCCCATTTGACCTCTATCCTTTGAGCCAAATTTTCACGTGTAGAGTTATTATTGTCATTATAATAATCATCTTCATTGTTGTCTATAACTATATATATATATATATAGTAAGGATGATGATAGTAAATAATGTGTTTTTAAATTTTTTATATTTCTAAATCTATAAAAATTATTTTTATTTGTTACACTTATTTTTGTTTAATATAATGAATATATGATATTAGAAATGTGTCCAAATATCTTTTACAATTTTTTTTTTTGTATTTTTATACTGTTGTGTTTTTTCATTTTTTTAATTTCTATTATCATTTAATTATGACATCAAGGGTTGACACATTTGACCTGAAAGGTTGAATTGTTGACTCTCCACCAAACAAGAAAACAACTCCATTTTTTGATTGATTTTGTTTGTATTTTATTTCCCTCATTAATAAAAACATTTATTCTTTGTCACGCTTGTTTCTTTTTTCAATATGATTACTTAACATAAGATATTAAAGATATGCCCAAATGTTTTCAACATAATTTTTATATTTTTTATGTTTTTATCTTTTTTAACTTTTATTATTTAATGACTTTAAGGGTTGACACATTTGACCTAAAAGGTTGAATTGTTGATCTACTAACAAACAAGAAAACAATTTCACTTTCAAGTTAGTTTTAAATTTTGTATTCTATTTCCATCACCAATAAAAAGTTAAAACAAATTCTTGTTATCATGTTTAATTTTTAATATGATTAATATAAACTATTGGAGATGCACCCAAATGTTCTCTATAGAGTTTCTATATTTTTTACATTTTTTGTTATATATTTTTTAATTTTTATTATTTAATTATGAGATCAAGGATTAACATATGATTAGAAAAGGTTAATTTTTTGACCCGCCACTAGGAAAACAATTTCATTTTTTGGTCTGTTTTAAACTTTATTTCCAAGATTAATAAAACTATTATTTATCATACTTATTTTTTTTAATATTATTAATATGAAATATTAGATAAAGTGCCTAAATGTTTTCTTTTTACAAAATTTCTGTTTTGTTTCAAAATGTTTTGTGTAATTTTTATTTAATTATGATATCAAAGGTTGACACATTTGACCAAAAATGTTGAATTGTTGACCGTCCACCATGAAAATAACTTTTATTTTTAGATTGATTTTCAATTTATATATCATTCCAACATCAATAAATATAATTATTATTTATGCTATATTTAATTTAAAACATTAGAGATTTACCCAATTTGTTTCTATTTTCAATTTTTTATTTTTCTATCTTAAAAGTTTTTATTTAATTATGACATAATGGATTGGCCCATTAACTCGGATGGTTAAATTGATTACTCACCACCATGATGAAAGAACAGTTCTATTTTTTGGGTCAATTTAAAAAATATATTTTATATCATTGAAAGTGTTGGATATAGATCTAATTGATAAAATTATTGGTGAAAAAGTAGCTCAAGTATAGGATTATTGAGAGAATGCGAGCTAATGCCCTAAATATAAGGTTTAATGAGAGGGAATTAAATGAGAAGAAATGTAGTAGTTTAAGTTACATTTTGTGCTCTCATAATTAATTAAAAAAATATGGGTATTCTAGTAAAAAATATGATTCAATGAATGATAATGAGTTAATTCCTTAAATATAAGACCTAATGAGAGGGAATTGAATGAGGAGAGAAGTGATTGTTTAAATTACATTTTTGTACTTACAACTAAAGAGGAACCAAATTAAAAATCGGGGTATTTTAGTCAAATAAAAATTTCACTCTATTATTTGGAATTTTGGTGACGATAAAAACCAATACATATCATAAGACATAGTACTATATTTATTTATTTATTTATTTTTGAGGAGATATAGTACTATATTTATCCATACTTTGACTTGCGAGATAAGCAAATATGAAATAGGGGGAAGAAATAAATCAGGGGCATTTTTATCATATAAAAATTTGTTAATATGCCATTAGATTAATTGTTCAAGATTAAGTTTGTCATTAAAAATAATAATGGCACACATTGATTTGCCTTATGATCACCACTATGTTAACATGAAGGTATATATGTCATAAATCAAAGTGTCCACAAGGGGGTCAAGTCAAACTTCTATCAGACTTCATTAATTGTTCAAGATTAACTTTGATTTGTCATAAATCAAAGTATTGATACGTATTCAGCCCTATCAGCCTATACATATCATATCGGGGGCTTCCCGATACTCCCCTACAAGGGTGTTTCAGGGTCTCGACCAGTTCAAAGGGTGAACGGACTTTAAACTGACCCCTCTGAACCCAAGGTTCAAAGTATCAATACGTATCATATAGGGGACTTCCCGATATACCCCTATAGGAGTGTTTCAGAGTCTCAACCGATTAAGAAGGTTGACAGGGCTTCCCGATACACCCCAATAGGGGGTGTTTTGGGGTCTCAACCGGTTCAGAGGGTGGACAGACCTTAAATCTGTCCCTCTAAACCAAATTCAAAAAAAAAAAAAAAAACTAAAAGAAAAATAAAACCAGCGCATCGATATTTTGAACCTTGTTTGAACCAGATTAAAAAAAAAAAAAACTATCGATACTGCCCAATACGCCACTGCCAGCATATCGGGGGTATCAATATTTTTAACCTTGGTTAGAATCCCCTACTTAACTATGAACTCCACAATTTTTATGGTAYAAAAATTACAAGATTTAAACCTAGGTTTCTAGGTCAAAAAGGCAACGAATCCATTTCATCGTGCCTCACCTAGTTGGCATAATTACATTATAAGAAATAATTTTAACATTTAGACATTTTCTCTTCTTGGTGCTTGTTTGTCGAAGTCAAAAAAGTTCAATTTATCAATGGATTTTGATATGTATCTACATATTATAATATATAAATATAATATCAGCAGACCTCTTCTCTCTCAACATGCACTCTTACGCTCTCTGCTAGAGGTTTTACCATTACAACAATCAATGGCTCCTTTAAGTTACAAAATAAACCAAGCACTAATGAGAAGATGACATCCTATAATGTCCGTGACCATACATGAGATAAATTGATTAAATTCGCTTGGGATCTTCTCAAAACATTCTAAGCCTAATCTGTTGGTCTTCTGCCACGTTAGCAAATTTGTCAGCACAACAGTTGGCTTCCTTGTAGCAGTGCTGGAATAAATAACTCAACCTTCTAGGCATATTAACCATACCATACCTACTAGCAAAAAATAATAGAAAGAGAAATTTGGATGTGTTATACAAGGAAAAGTGCACTAGAAGAATGATATACTAGTTCAACCAACAATTGCTTGTGCAACTGTTTCAGACTCTCGGTCTACTTCGGCGGAATTCATGGTCTGTCCTGCCTTTTCCTGCACGATTGAGGGCTTAATTTCTTGCATTAAAGAATCCTCTTTGCCTCCAAAATGTACAGAAAGCCTTTGGAGTARCTCTTGGCAATCTATTGCTGACACCATAACACTTACGCTTGTCCTGCCCTTCCAGCATCCAATAGCTAATGTTGATGCATCCACTTGAATGGGATCTGAACTTATTTGATCTCCTGCAGTTGATTGACAATATTGTAAGAATATGAAGGAATACAGCACAAAGCGCATATATCAACATTCCTGATTGAATACTTTTGGATGCTATAAACACCTTTATTCAGCACTATTACGCAACAACCCAACATCAGATTTGATGCCTTCTTGCCAAACTCTGCATCAACAAAATCTGCAAATTTGATTGATCTGTACTGCAAGAGGTGCTTGAAGTCAACTAGGGAAGCACATAGGATCTGTTTGGTGATATATGGAAGAAGTAATGGTAATCCCTCAGATGATATCCGAAAAGCACATGCTGAGGAGGTACCTTCCTTTGAAGTTTGGCGCTCCTGAAAAAATGATCAATAATGGAAGGAAATTAATAAAAGAAAGATCATCTCCTTAAACATCATGCTGAATGGCTCTTCGAATGGAGACTAAAGTAGAGAACTTTTCCTTCTATTTCCTGTCTTTATTTACAAAACCAGTTGAGTTGCATTATCACCTTTAAGCATGAAAATATGAGGCTGTTTTAACAGACGGTACAATTCCAAATGTGTGGGAATGTAAATGAGGATCCCTGAATAAGTCTCGCACACAATAAAAAACAATTTATCCAAGAAAAGTACCAACAACTTTTTAAGGATTATCACCAAAAGGGCAGAATTGATAATAGCAGCCATTCATATATTGAATTGGACATTAAGTATTATTAAAATATGACAAATCTACAGAAACAATAACCACTATAAAGAACATAAAAATTAAATAGGAACAGTTAAGTGGCACTATGCTATGATAGAACAGGATACGAAACTAAGTATGTTGCTACTAATACAAATAGTCATTGTTATACCCATGATATTTTCCAGACCTATATGTATGGGAGGCACAAGAATCAGTAAGACAAATCTTAAATATAGGAGACACTTACAAATGTCTTGAGGCCTACGGAGGTTATTTTAAGTTGCTGTCCAACATGGAAATTCAGTTTGAGAACATCATGAACTGACTCTGAGACATAATAAATTCGCTTAACATGATGTGTATCACTGTTTCTTGTGACAAGATGGCCATTGAGAGGAAAGGATTCTCGAATACCATAGAATTCCTTTATGCTACTGATGGTAGCTTCATCCTTGAAAAAGACAACAGGATCCACTCCTCTCCACTTGCCTTGAATCTGTAATCTTCCCTTGCCTTGTTTTTCTCTTACATGATCAGTCTCCCCACTCCCATCCTTTTGAGTTTCTTCTGGTTCATTGCCTTCTTCACAAATCCCAAGAGAATCAGGTCCTGAATCACCTTCTGGTTTATCCCGTAAATCAACATCTGAAGTTGTCTCAGAATATTGGTTATCTGCACCATCTTCTGATGGATTAATTGCCAACCCATTTGTATCTTTAATGATCTCATCAGGTAACTGCTTGGGTAAGTCAAGGTTCTCAGAGGTAAGCTGTCCATGCTGATAAGTATGATTGCCTAAAGTGGCTGCAAAATGATGAATAAGGTTAATTTTTTGGACATCATAAAAAGAAAAAAAAAAAGGTACATTGAAGTACATTACAAGAAATGTGTTTTCTGATGGAAGTCAAAGATTAAAGCAACAGTTCAAACACACTTTAAAACAGGAGCTAGAGCACAATATTGGTGCACAACCAAGAGAACTACCAGTATATAGATTCCAGACCGATAAGCCTGCTGAATAGTTTCTACAAGCTTCTTGTGAAAGTGCTGGCTGAAAGATTAAAGAATCTAGGAAGTGTAATTTCCGAAAACCAGTGTGCTTTTATTGGGGGAAGACAAATCTTGGACAGTGCTCTAATTGCTAATGAAGTGATTGATTCAAGAATGAGGGCAGGAAAACCAAGAATTCTATGTAAAGTGGATCTTGAAAAAGCCTATGATCATGTTAATTGGAGATGCCTAAACTTCATTCTTGAGAAAATGAACTTCAGTCAGAAATGGAGAAACTTGATGGAGGTATGTTTTTCTTCACCAAAATTTTCTGTTATAATTAATGAAAATTCATCTAGTTTCTTCAAAAGTTCAAGAGGCATTCACCAAGGAGACCCCTTGTCACCTCTTCATTTCCTTTGTGTGATGGAAGTCCTGACCCAATTCATCAATTGGGCAGGACAGGCTGGTCTTTGGGGGGAATTTGAAATTAAGCCAGGGGGTGGAAGGGACAATGTGCTCCACTTTGCTGATGACACTGTGTTTCATTGATGCTTCTTTTGCTCAATTAGAAACACTAGTGGGAATTTTTTCTTGGGAAAATCTTCTTTGATTCCAGTGGGCAGATGCTCTGGGTTGTAAAGTAAACAAGCTCCCAACTACCTATCTTGGCCTTCCGTTGGGTGCAAAGTGTTCTTCTACAGCAATATGGGAGCCGGTGTTGGAAAGACTTGAGAGGAAACTCACTTCCTAGAGGGAAAAATACCTTTCAAAAGGGGGAAGAGTTACCCTGATTAAAAGCACTCTTGCAAACCTGCCAGCTTATTTTCTCTCTCTTCCCCATCCCTAGCACAATAGAAAAGAGAATTGAAAAATTACAAAGAGACTTTTTATGGAAGGGGTGGGAAGATGAAAAAAAGATCCACATGATTGCATTGGATCAGATCTGTACTCCATGGAATTCAGGTGGTTTGGGACTGAGAAGAATCAAAACTTTCAATACAGCCTTACTGGGTAAGTGGATCAGGAGATTTGGAGTGGAAGAAAACAGCTGGTGGGGGAATCTCAATGAATCCAAATATGGTCTTCAACCAGGAGGATGGACAACTGCTATCAACTTGCCTTCATATGGATGCTCGATATAGAAAGCTATTTTGAAAACTCTTCCTAGTGTCCTAAAAGGGGTGAGTTTCAAGTTAGGAGATAGGGGAAGAATCCGCTTCTGGAGGGACAAATGGCTTGATGATGTACCTCTGGAAGAGAAATTTCTTATGCTCTTCTCAGTGGCTGAGGATAAAGAGGCAATGGTTGCTGACTCTTTTGAGTTAGTCCGAGGTAAAGTGGTGTGGAAGCCTAAATTCCGAAGAGGTTTCCGAAAATGTATTTAAATTACTTTCTAAGTAATTTAAATACATTTTCTTTTCAGCCCCATTCAGAAGACCAATGGATCTGGAATTGGACTGCTGATGGAAAGTTCTCAGTTAGATCTTTTGCTGATGGTCTGACTATTAGAAGGGCAACTGATTTCCCCTGTAAACAGATCTGGAGCCCTCATTTTCCCCCCAAAATCAACTTCTTGATGTGGACCTCAGCACTAGGGAAATGCCTAACAAGAAGCAACCTGGCAAGAAGAGGTTTTAGCCTAGATGACCTTAGCTGTGGGATCTGTGGTCTTGAAGAGGAATTCATTGAACATCTCTGTATCATTGCAAGCTTGCCTGGACTATCTGGTCTCACTTCTTAGAGGCTGTAGGTGTTTGTTGGGTAATGTCAGGTACAGTGAAGGATATGTTTCATAGCTGGCACCTTCTGGGCCTCTCAAAAAAAGGCAAATACATTTGGAGAGCCATACCAGCAGCAGTAATCAGCACTATATGGTCTGAGAGGAATGACAGAGTTTTCAGAAAAGAGAAGAAAGAACCTGAGGTATTAATCCAGTGTATTGTGGCCAGACTTGCCTCTTGGCTTCCTATCATCCCTGAGTTTTGTAATCAGAACTTGTTTGTGATGCTTAGCTCAGTTAGTTTGCAAGAGTTATGATCATATCCTTTGGGGGTGAACTGGTGTGTAGTTTCCCCCATTCTTGTATGATATCTTTTCTTCATAAATAAATTTTACCTTACCTCTTTTCAAAAAGAAAAAAAAAAAAAAACTACCAGTAGTGGTTAGCATAACAATCTCCTACAGAAGGGCTGTTTTTGAGTAGAATTCTCAATTGCAGTGTAGTAGATAATAAACACCTAGAAAGGGAAAATTATAGAACTTTGAGAAAATAATGATATTGGTTAATAATGATAATCTAACTGTCTAGCCAAGATTTTATAATTACCTAGCTGTCTAGCTGACATTTTAGTTGGAATGTATAACTGACTGTTTTCACACCTTTAATGGCAACTTACCTAGTAGCCTTAATATATATTTTTTTCTTTTGGTTACATTTACCCTACCTTCCCCCTCCTCCAAACCTTTTTTTCCCTTTTCCTTTATTTTGTTTGTTGGGTGAGTGGGGGAGCATTTAGGTTGTATTGTTATTATTATTATTATTTTTTTTTCCAGTAAGCATTTAGATTGCCTAAACATGTTATCATTCTACCAATTGTCTGGTCAAGGCCCATCCTTCTAGGACCAAGCATTCCCTGTCTGACTGATGAAAATAATGTATGGACCGACTACCAATTCTCTGATGATTATGGTATGAGGAAGATGTATGTAGGACAAAACTTCCATGCAGCCAGAATACCATGCCTTGATCTGTTAAATCCTAACCAACGGTCACAATAGATTTCATCACAAGCAACCAGAAAAAAGTCGTTACCAGGCAAAGATGAAAGCTTGCGAAGAACAGCAATAAAAAAGGCTCCTGTATTCTGATCATGAGGCACTATTCTCATGCAACGTTCTAGAGGAAAACTTGACATTTCTTCATCTGAAACATCACTCTGATTCAGAAAACTCTCCAACTGCCCAATCTCTTGTTTGGATTCTATGTTGTTATCAGTCTGATGTCCATTTGCTGAGCTATTTGGATTTCCGGTTTCATGAGTATTGTCAGATGGAGCTATTCCTTCATGTGGACCATCAGAAACTGTCTTTTCCTCCTTGAAGCTTCTACCTGAAGGAAACATGCTTGACATAATGCCATCTCTTCTGTACTTAGGTACATCTTTGTAAGAAGCTAACCAAATGCCCTTATCTCGGACCTGCCATGTAAACACAACGACCAATGAGACATGTAAAGTTGTTATAGGGCCACATAGTGTGTTTCTTATATACRTAAACTTCTTGTATATTCACTAAGTAGGTGTTTCACATTGATGTGCTTTTTTAATCATTTCATTCCACCATAATCCTTGATGCAACAGTACCCTGATTACACAATGTTTCTGCCACAAATGTGTTTGCTAGACACAACACACCAGTGTGAAGCTTAGAGTTACCTACTATTTATTAAAAGAAATTCGCTGCTAGTTATTCACTTTTCAATGTGTGAAATCAGAGGGGTAGTGCTTCAATTTCCCCTGATTATAGAAACATCAAGATTGTCTTCTATAATCATAACCCTGCACAGAAATATAGATAATATATTGGGTTGGAATCTTTGTATAAATGGACATCGATGAACATGATTCTTTCCTATTTAGGGGCGAGATGAGTAAAGGATTTAATACTGCCCTTATGGGAAATTGGTTTTGGTGTTTTGACGAAAATCAAGGAGGCTTGTGGAGGAGAATCATCCTTGCCAAGTATGGCGACAGAAATCTAGGGTGGGACATGGGAACTGCTAGCCAGCCCTATGGATGCTAAGGGCCTGTTCGTTTCCTCTTAACTTTTAACTCTTAAGAGGAATCTTTTAACTTTAAGAGAAAAATGGTTGTTCGTTTCCTCTTATCTCTCATCTCTTAAAGTGCAATCATACAACTTTTTGTTTTCCAATGATACCCCCAAAAAGACAAACAAAAACTCTAATATATGGGGTCAAAATAGATATTTGATAATTTTCAGAATTCAGAGTTCAGAACAACATTCTCTGCATTCAGAGTTCAGAGGAAAGAAAAGTTCACCAATACCAATATACCTCTTAATGTAATTATTGCACTTTCAGATGTCGGACTTCAACGCAAACGAACAGGCCCTCACAGTCTGGAAAGGAATTGAAAAGGCTTATGGTGCTTTTGCAAAAGGGGTGATGTTTTGGAAGGATGTATGGTGCGGTACAGGCCACTGGCAGAAGCTTTTCATGGCCTCTTTGAAGTGGCAGTGGACAAGGAATCCAAAGTAGCTGACTGTATGCAGCTGCAAGATGGAAATATGGTGTGGCTTCCTCATTGTAGAAGAAATCTAAATGACTGGGAGGTGGATGTAATGATGGAAATGATGCATTTTCTTAATAACACACAAGTAGAAATTGGGAGGGCCAACTATAGAGTTTGGAAATGGGATAAGGCAGGAAAGTTCACAGTCAGATCTTTCACAATGTTTAACCAACAGAGAAGAGCAGTTAGTTCTTGCCAACATCATTTGGTGCAAGATAGTTCCCTCAAAAATTGCTTTCTTGGTCTGGACTGCTTATTTAAACAAAATTGTAACCAGAGATAATCTCCTGCAGGGCATGCCTTTGGACTCGACAGATTGTGTTCTCTGTGAAGATCACTCAGAATCTGTGGACCATCTGYTGTTGCATTGCCATTATTCTTCTGAGGTATGGTCCAGAGTAGCTCAACTTTTTCAGGTGCAAAGCTACGGTCCAGGATCAGTAGCGGAGTTCTTAAAAGGTTGGAGGGTGGAAGGTCTAAGAAAAAGAGGAAAACTGATCTGGAACATAGTACCAGCAGTGGTGTTTTGGTGCTTATGGCAAGAAAGAAATGCAAGAATCCTCAAAAATAAGAGTAGCTCTTCAGATTCTGTTTTTCAGAAAATTTTGGGAAAATTGCATTCCTGGCTTGTAGGCCATTTGTGCATTAAAAATACAAATTTCAGTTCCCTTTTTGTAAAGCAGGATTGGGGGTGTGGGGGGATAGTGCTGCCAGGACAGTTTGTAGATCAGTCCCCATGTACATCTAGGGGTGGACACAAATCGAGCTTCAAGCTCAAGTCTTTAGCTCGAACCTCGAGCCTTGTAGTTTTTGGGTGAGCCAAGCTCGAAAAGCCAGATATTCAGCTCAGCTTGGCTTGGCTCGAATCCACCCCTACAAAATTCTTGCCTATTTGTTCTAAATGCTGGAGTGGCATGTTTGTTTAAATGAAATCAACAAGGAACACATCAACACCAAACACATTCTAAATAGTTGGTATTCTAGAAGGATAGGAACCAAGATGGTTTATCTGCATATATATATATATGGCATGCACATATCATGCTTGCGAATGGCTCCAACCAACCAAAGGCATCTTCCCATTCAACTACTGAATTTTCCCCTGATAATTAGCAGGATTGCATAATCAATCAAAAAAATTGAGTTTAAGTATCATTTTAATTTTACCTGTATATGATTATATTGTTGTTAACATGTATTTTCTTTTCCTCATCCTTGTCCATTAACTTTTCCTATCATGGCAACCCATTCAAATAGCATCATTCTACATAGGCAATTTCTATGATGCCAAAAAGGCATGATATTAGAAGAACTTTGGTCAATCAGACCCCCCTCCCCGAATTTTGATGAATACCAGTTGATTGGTTATAGGAAGAACTTTGGTGTTTGGTCTAACCATTGTGTAACTATTTTCTTATGAGTAACAAGTAAATGTAGTTTTAATGAAGGATGTGAGTCTAACCATGGACAACTGTAGAGTGAGGAAAAGGGATCAACAGTCCCATCATCAAATTGTATAAAATGTTTACAATCTGAATCTGAATTTTAATAAAACACATATTTACTGATAAAAAAAATATCAGTAAGACGCCATGGACAACTGTAGATCATTTAAATTGGCTCCCCTATACACAAACATACAAGCACATCTATTCCCACAAAAAGGTTCTCCCACTCTTCATCACTTTCCCCTTTAGCAGGGTAGTAAACAACCATATTATATTGGAGGATGTAGGACCCATCTGACAGGGGTTCATGTTCAACCTGGCAACCAGGGAACAAACTTGTAGTTAGATAGTAGCCTCCAGGGGCCCATGGAGGTATTTCTCATCCAATCTATAACAATCTAAGATTCTAAAGCTCATAGAAACATATAGCTGGATCCCTGGCTTGAACATGGAAACAACAGCTCAGCCCCTCATATCTTATACAAGTGAGGGAAAGGAAAGGATGATAGAGCCATTACCCTCCCTGATGACTCCACCAAATATTAGATGGTCCCAGATTACCCAATGAATGCCCCTCAGAGTTTGACTTTTTTGATAATTGAAAAGAGATTTATTAACGATATATCAGAAATGTTACAACTTACAAGCACCCCAAGGAGAGGCACGAGGTGCAACCTCCCTTGAGATTAAAGTGTAAAAGCTACACCAAAAACATTACAATGTTGTCCAGTACAGATGTTCCCTCAAAACCCATTGTTTAGCAAGATGATCAGCCAAAGCATTTGCTAACCTGCTCACCCAATGTGAGCTAACAGACATGTTATGTTATGGGCCCGGGCATAGGATCTCGTCACGGGTCGGTCCACGGGGAGAACCTCTTGTTTCCCCTTGCGCCTTCCCTTGCGTGCAGACCCTATTGTGGAAAACCGAATGGGTGATTTGTTCAAGAGACCACCCGAACTCTCCTCACTCTTCTCTTAACTGGAAACTGAAGACTTTATTCCCAAATCACAGCTCCTTAAAAAGGAAGATAAGCAGTTCTTGACGGAAGGCAGTTCTTGATGCCTTATGTGAACTGCTGAAACGTACGAGTGTAAAAAGAGAAGCATTAGTAAAAAGGAAGATAAGCAGGTCTAGTAGTATGGTGAACAAGACTAAGCAAGAGACTCCTTTAGTGTTAGCTGGGGCAGGTAATTACAGAATGGGAGTAAACATACAGAGAGGGGATTGGGAAAGTAAATTGATAGT